ACGCACACACACGCACACACACACACACACACACACAGACACAGACACAGACACACAAACACACAAACACACACACAGACACATTAACACACACACACACTCACTCAAAATCAAAGCTGTGCCTAATTTTAGCAGGCATTTTCAAGGTACATATGATGCATGTACACACACACGGTTATGTGGTTAAATCCAGCAGAGCGCTTGACTTTATAAAGGCCATTTATGATTAGTCTGGGGACTGAGGTTTTGGAGGTACAACATCATTAGGGTTGCCAGATTGGAGCTGAGAATTACCAACAGCTGCCATGTCTGCTATAAGCCAAACATAGAGTACGTCGCAAATCACAGCTTGCTGAAAACAGGATGTAATGAAACACTGTTTCTGATGGATTCTTTAAAGTGTGCATCCATTTGAACATTATTCCTCAAGAGTAGAGCAAGATTTAAAAAGAATGTTTAAAATGAAAATATGTACAGGTGCATCTCAATAAATTAGAATGTCGTGGAAAAGTTCATTTATTTCAGTAATTCAACTCAAATTGTGAAACTCGTGTATTAAATAAATTCAATGCACACAGTATTGCACAGCACACGAAGTAGTTTAAGTCTTTGGTTCTTTTAATTGTGATGAATGTGGCTCACATTTAACAAAAACCCACCAATGGCATGTCACCATATTCTAATTTGTTGAGATAGTGAATTGGTGGGTTTTTGTTAAATGTGAGCCAAAATCATCACAATTAAAAGAACCAAAGACTTAAACTACTTCGGTCTGTGTGCATTTAATTTATTTAATACACGAGTTTCACAATTTGAGTTGAATTACTGAAATAAATTAACTTTTCCACGACATTCTAATTTATTGAGATGCACCTGTAAGTTGAATAAGTGTCTGCCATATGTGTAAATGCACATGCATTTTCATCCAATATTGCCCAATTCCTTCCTGTTTTCAAAAGTTTGGTTGGTAAGATTTTTTTCTGTTTGTTTGTTTTTGAAAGATGTCTCCTCTACAAGGCTGCATTTATTTGATCAAAAATACAGTAAAAACTGTGAAATATTATTACAATTTAAAATAACTGTTTTCACTTTGAAATACACAATTTTAGTGCATACACAGATCCATGAGTATATGACTATTCAACCTTTCTTGATGATTGTGCATTAACAGAATGAAACCTAACAAATGAATTATGTCCTCTGAAAAAGCCTTGTGTGAGGAACAGACCAAAATGTAAGCTGTAACTTCAAATATTCCTTTAAATAATGGCAATTCTATACAGAAGGGTTTGAATAGCAGACACAAGCATTAGAAGAGGTGAAAGGGAGAGGAGGGACGGGAAAAGGAGAAAGAGCTGGGAAAGGGCTAATAGAACACAAGTGAAGAGATGAAGAAAGAAAGAGCTATATAATGTGGCATCCAGACAGATAATTCATCATTTTCCTACCCTCAATCAATCGTTCCAGCATTTAGACGAGCACAGACACCAAACAAACATCAGTGTAGACCGTACTCTGGAATCAGTGACTCAATATACTGTAGATGGAGAACCGCTCCGGCTAACATCTATACTTAAGAGTCGGAAAGGCTGGGAATTTTCCGTTTGGGATTCAGGAGCTGGAGTGAAAATGCAGAAAAGGCCCCTGCAATTGTTTATTGAGAGACCTTGTAAAAATTCCACGTTGAGCTGAAATGACTCCAAGTTAGAGCACCTCTGTTTCAAAACATCCTCAACTGGAGTATACGGCATGGTCAAAGATTAGAGGCTTTAAAATATTATATTGTTTTGCTTATTTCGGTAAGCCATCTGGCTGTATTAAGTGAAATGCATATATATACCCATTTGTATCCGAAACAGCCCCTCTGCCCATGTGGGGCCCCTTTAAGAAGTTATAAGCCAATTAAAATCTGGTTAGAGGTGTGCTGTTATTATACTAAAAGAGCAAAAACCTCTCGTAAACTCAAGTCATTTCTAGAGAATAAAATATCACAGACACTTGAGGATGAATGCTTTTGACTTGGGCTAGTAAGTGTTATTTTAGTGCTATTTATATAATAGTATTATTTATATTTTGAATTAATTTTTATATTTGAAGTTTCCATTTTAATTTTAATTTAAGTTTAGTAATTTTGTTACATATTTTTGTTATTTAAAAAAAAAAAAATGTAGATTTGTTACAATGGAACTTTTAAGTTAATAAGTTTCCATGTTAATTTCAGTTTAAGTGTAGTAATTTTGTACACGCTTTTGTCATTATTATTATTTTTATTAAATATTTCTGTTTTGATGGATAAGTTTGTAGGTTAAAACCATTTTCAATTTAATTTTAGTTTAAATTAAGTATTTTTGTAACATTATTTTGTCATTTCTATTTATTTATTTATTTTTAATTGTTTTGTTTATATTTTTCATTTTAATTTACATTTAATTTTAGGTTTATTAATTTTGCATGCTTTTTTATTTTTAAATTTTAATTACAATTTTTTATTTAAATGTAAATATTTTTGTTTAGCTTTTTGTTTTAGTCCTTAAACCTAGGTTTGCCATGATAGACGGTGTTGACGGTGATACCGGTGTTAAGCCACAACACCGGTTATGTCACTTGCCCACCGCGTCAC